AACGAGTTTCTTACAAGTCGACCTCAACATGTTTTTGCTTGCACTTGGTGGCCAACCAGCTGTAGTATTAGTCCGCCAATACAGTAATCGGTTCTAGGGCTTAAATTCCTTACTATTTTATTAAATATCAAGAAGTTTATACTATTCAATAATTTTAAAAGTTTAATATTAAATTTTTTATTCATTTTAACAATTATTGAACATAATTGAAGGTAAGGTCACTTGTTTCTGACCCGCCATCCAGCTTGTTAACACACCAAACAAGCGTTAGTCTCTCTCTGTTTTCAGTGGAGGTAACATCTTGCTTGAGACTCTCTTCAACTAAATGCTTTTTTTCTGTGTTTCTAAGCAAATTATTGGTCATTTTGAAATTTATTTTACATATTGACAATATATAATGCAGTGCAGTGTTGATTTAAAGAAAATAATCTTGAATTACACCAAGAGAGCTAAAATTTTATGGGTGAAATGGCGCCATGGGGTGACTTCTCTTCCACCCCAATGCCTTCTCTTCTTCCTTCTCCTCCATCCCCATTCTAAATCCCATCATCATCATCATCATCATCCAGGAGCCTTCTACATACACACCTCAAAGTAAGTGAACTTTTCTACCATTTTTGTTGAATTTAGGAAATTTTCGGTGAGCTGGAACCAATTACCCAAAAACCCATTGAAACAACGGTTTCGGTTAACGAACGACCTTCTGGAACGGATTGAGTTCGTTAACGGAGGGGTCACTGTATTACCGAGAATAATGGTAAGAGAAAATACACAAAGAAATAAGAACATTGAAATAAATATATACGAGTAAGAAAAGAAAGATAAATTTTACTTTTATCCTCTTCACCACTGATCGGCTCGTTAGCCGCTTGGGCAATCGGTCACGTCTCTGATAACTTTTCCTTTTCATTTATTCTCTTCACCAAAAGATCGGCTCGCTAGCCGCCCAGGCGATCGGTCACATTCTCTGTCACGCACTGTTGGCAGGTACTGGGCATGCACCGGCTCCTGAATGTACCTGAACCCGCTCCAGTGTTGGTCAAGTCTTGTCTTGAAAGAGCTCACACTCGGTGCAGTCACAACACTTTCTGGTAGATTGTTCCAAGAGTTTAAACCCTCACTCCGAAAAAGTTTGCCCTCACAGTTTTCTGGACTTGCGGCTTCCTCAATCTTGAGCTGTGACCCCTTGTGGGGCAAGTGTCCGCCAGCTCCAAGTATACAGTATTACCCCGCTTTACGCGGTTTCACTTTCCGCGATTTCTCATTTACGAGGTGCCTCGCCAGAACCGAACTTTCACTTTCCGCGGTGCATCTACCCATATACGCGCAGTGTGTCCGGCTCGACGCTATTTTTAGATTTGCCCCACCCGCCTGCTCCCGCCTCCTCCCTCCTCCGCCTCCGCCTGGCCAAGCCGAGCGGTAAGGTTGCGCAGTGCATGTCTCTGTTGCGTTATCACTGACGTCATATGACAAATCAGACTGTGATTGGCCATGCATCCCTACCTCCCTCCGCTGCTAGCTGTAATTGGCTTAAAGTAATATGACGTGTCCACCCGCAGGAGGGAGGGAGGAAAGACGACGCTTGACCTAGCGGCGGCAGTTTCATCCCTCCAGGCCACACCGTGTATACGTGCATCCATTGTTCTGTGAAATGGCTTCCGCCAGACCACCGCCACCAGAGAGAAACCTTTCCTTACCTGGACCCAGCCGCCCTAAGCCAAAGAAGATACGACGTTCTCTAAGCTACGAAGTGAAATAACAGATAATTCAAGATTTGGAGAAAGGAACACGTCAAGCTGATCTCGCGCGCAAGCATGGAGTCAACGAATCTACGATTCGTACTATTAAGAAGGATGCAGCCAAGATCAAAGAGCACATGAGAATCACAAAGTCTGCAGGTGCTTCAATGATCAAGTATTGCCAGAACAAGGTGCTGCTAAAGATGGAAAATTTGCTGGTGAATTACTTGATTCGTCAGGCGCGACGCAACATGGCGGTGGACACGAGATCCGTTCAAGAGTACGCACGTGAACTGTACGCAGCAGTGTCACGTAAGATGGGAATTGCAGAGCCCAAACCCTTCAATGCTTCCTCTGGTTGGCTGCATAGGTTTAAGAAGAGGAACAAAATCACCAACATCAACATTGGTGGTGAAGAAGCGAGTGCTGACCGTGTGGCGGCAAGAGATTTTCCTCCGTTCTTACGTGAGGTTATGGAGGAAGGGCAGTACACTGACGACCAGGTGTTCAACATGGACGAATCCAGCCTATTTTGGAAAAAGCTGCCTACCAAGACCTTTGTTGTCCAGTCTGCCAGCAAGGTTCGGGTCGGAAGTTGCAGAAGGAGCGCATCACCGTCCTCTTTACCACCAATGCCTCCGGTACCTGTAAACCAAAGTTATCGGTGATTCACACAGCCCGCAAGCCACACGCCTACAAGAACGTGGACATGAGCAAGATTAATGTCCACTGGCTGACCACACACAAGGCGTGGATGTTCTCTGCTCTGTCACTCTTCTGGTTTGATGACTGTTTCATTCCCGACGTGAAGAAATTCTGCGAGCAAAAAAATATTCCATTCAAGATTTTGTTGCTCCTTGACAACGCGCCAGGACACTCGCCCCTACTTATGGATCGTCGCCCCAACGTAAAAGTGGTCTTCCTTCCTTCCAACACTACGTCATTAATCCAGCCCATGGACCAGGAGCTGATCTGCAATGTTAAAGCTGCACACTCGGCAAAGAAATTGAAGCTCCTGAATGACTGTACCAACACCAAGGATGAGTTGCGTAAGCTGGGTGACACCAACAGCGAGAGTAAAAGCGACGAGGACAAGGAACAGGAGGTGGTGACTCAAGAAGTTCTCGTCAAACAGTTTTGGAAGAAATTTAACGTCAAACAAGATGTAGACTTCTTGGTGGAGGCATGGGATCAGCTGTCTATAGCTACGATTCGTCACGCATGGAGGCATGTGTTGCATGGCATACCAGGTGAGAGGTGGAGTCAACCTGTGACTGGTGAGGTTCAGTCTGTGACAGTGGCATTGGACCTTGCAAGAGAAGCTGCGCACAGTAGTACAGCTGAAAGCTTCTCCGAGACCACCAACGAAGACATCCTGGAGGTGATCAGAGATCCTGAAATGACTGCCGACAAGATGTTGGAAGATGATAACGTCAGTGAAGAGGAAGGTGGTGTGTCAATCCCAGAAGAACACAAATTAACGCATAGTAATATTAAGGGTGCCATCGAGTGTGCAGAAAAATTACAGCTCTTCCTTTCCAACGACCCTGACGATGACCGCTATGAAGTCTTCCATACCCGGCTGGTGCAGGCTATGGAGCCGTACATCAAGGTGTATCACGACAACATCAACACTAGCCGTCAAAAAAGCATTACCGAGTTCTTCGCCCGCAACCCACCACAGCCAGCCAGTGACAGTGAAAGTGACTTTGAGGGATTTGTCAGGGAAGCCCTGACAACTATAACTGATAGTGATGGTGATGCACCTAGTTATGGTGATTCACCTGAGGGCCAGTAATCTGCTCTCTGCCTCGGAACCAGCCTCCATCCCCGTATGCCGACCCATCTCTTCTACTAACGTAAGTGTTACATCCAACCTTTAGTTTTCCTAACCTAACCTTTATTTTTCCTAACCTAACCTCTTCTATATTAAGTGTGTGTGCATACCATCATAAAGTTAAGATAATATTTTTACTACAACATAGTTGTGTGTCGTCAAAAAGTGGAGTTTGGGGGTCGGGCCAGTCTCTATTGGAATTAATCCCATATGTTCTGTTGTTCACTTTACGTGGATTTCACTTTCCGCGGTACCCTGTGGGTTCAATTGACCGCGTAAATCGGGGTACTACTGTATTGATATAAATAAATAAATAAGAATATTGAAAGAACACAAATTAGCGGAGCCTTCTTTGTGCGTGTTTACGGCTGATTCGCCAGGCAAGAAGATGACGGCAGCAATGCGTGTGATGGAGGGTGCAGGAGGGGGTTTTAAGAATTGCAATTAAATGCCAGGTAGCAACTTGTCCTCCTAATATTACGTATTTAAGTAATTATTAGATGTTTTAATTGCCTGTACCGGTATGTTGGCTTGGCAAATTGATGCTAGGCATTTACATACCTAGGTATAAAACTAGAAGTCGCATTTTGGATTGAACAAAAACTAAGAATATTGAAAGAAAGACATAGAAAATAACTTAGAAAAATAAAGTAATATAACTAAAGAAGTTAAAGAAAGTTATAAAAGTTATAATACCAGAAAAAAATAGAAATCAATAACTATAAAAGTAAAGATCTTACAAATATTTTCAACTGATGGATCATTATTATAATTTTACCACCTGTAGAAATGGTGTAACATTTTGTGCCCCTTACAAATGATAGCAGTTAGTGGGATATTTTTATTCTACATTATTCTGTTATGCACTGGTGGCAAGTACTGGGCATGCACCAGCTCCTGAATGTATCTGAACCTGCTCCAGTGTTGGTCAAGAATGGTCTTGAAACAGTTCACACTCGGTGTTGTCACAACACTCCCTGGCAGGTTGTTCCAAGAGTTCACAACTCTCACTCCAAAAAGTTTGCCCTCACCGTTTTCTGGATTTGCAGCTTCTTCAACCTTGAGCTGTGACCCCTTCTGGGGCGGGGCATCCACCAGCTCCAGGTATGGACACTCGACAGAGTAGTGCCCTTTGAGATGTTTATACACCTCAATTAGGTCCCCCCTTGTCAGTCTGTAGTATAAGCTTGGCTACTAATAAACTCCTAACTAGAGAGTAAATGAAATTGTGCAGAATGTTGTCTCGAGCAAACTACACAAGAATCCATGAAAATACTGAAAACATGAAATTTAGAAAAAGACAACGGGAATAACTGAGAAGAAAATGTTAGATGATGATAAGTACCTTGTACATATTAGGAAAGTCTGCATGAAGCACCTGCACACAAAATATACATGGTGTGATACAATTAAAATTCACTTACCTGGATTAAGTTCACGATCAAAGTCCTGGTTGTTGTAGTCACAAGTGATTAGACCACTCACTTCATCCAACCGGAGTTTCTCTGCCAGTTTACCACTAAGTTGAGTGTACTTTATAATACCAAAATCTCCTTTATCCCCATCTGTTGCCCGCACCTGTTGAAGGCAACAAGGTTTTGGCTTAAAATGGTTTTCCTATTTATTATCACCCTACACAGTAATATAATACAACTCTTTAATATGTACTGTATTTCACTAATACATACTGTATAAATAATATCAATGCTCCAATTAGAGCTACAGTACATGGCATATCATTAAATTGTTCCGGCTAATGGGGATATCCCTGTACAATCATTCTGCAATCTCTGTATTTGGTTTACTAATTTTTTTTTTAATTTGACATATTAATATTAAATTCTAAGCTTACAAAATAGGTTAAGTACTGTATCTGTTTACCTATCTATTATAGTGATGAAACTGGGTGAGTGTAAATTTGTCTTACCCTCATTATGGAGGTACCAGCAGTGATGTTCTCATAGATCTCGGTGCGGTACACTTGCTTGCTGAACACAGGGATGTTGTCATTCAGGTCGAGCACATTGATCCTCACCTGCATGGTGCTAGATGCTTGCCCTGTCCCCGAAACCTGCCGTGCTGCCACCTGTTAGCCAGTACTGACATGTCATTTACTGTTGTCATAATGTAATAACTGCACTTCAACAATGAAGGTCTTTAAGCATGCAACAAGGCTAGTAATATGCTAGTCCAACAACAATAAAACTGGATACTGTAATACAAAATCATCTATTTAATGAAAACAGAAATCATCCTCTCATTATAAACATTAATTAAACTCATGAAAGTAAGCAGTGAGACATTAAAGGAATATCTATTTTGGCTTCAAGAGTGGTCAAAGGAATGGATGCTGACTACTGAGAAATGGATGAGGATGCACCCTGATCATACTAATACACTGTGGAAAGAAGTATTCAACATGTCCCAATGTGACAAAGACATTTCCTTAACTGATATCAGAAAGACCTGAGTGTTTATATTGTTAACAAATTGAAGTTCTCAGATCACCAAGAAAAAGTGAATCATGTTTATTAACAAGATTCACTGATGATACATTTAAATGTTTTTACAAATACAGGTATATATATTATATATATATATATATATATATATATATATATATATATATATATATATATATATATATATATATATATATATATATATATATATATATATATATATATATATATATATAATATATATATATATATACATAGATATATATATATATATATATATATATATATATATATATATATATATATATATATATATATATATATATATATATATATATATATATATATATATATATATATATATATATATATATATATATATATATATATATATATATATATATATATATATATAAAGTGTAAAGCACAGTAATGTACCTTAAATTCAATTCTGGGTCGGGTCTCATAGTCCAGGAGGGTAGGGTTCTTGACCTTGATAAGAAAATCTTGGGAATTTCTCACTATGTTGGGTTCCACGGTAAAGATCCCATCATCACCTTCCAATTCGATAGCAAACATGCCTTTCAGGCCCTGCAACACAACACAATATTGCAATAAACATCATTCCAGTTGAGATTTTACCATAGAATATTGCACTTCTACAACTAAGGTTTTTAAAGCATCACCATCATTAAATGAGATACTGTATACTCTGTATCTCAGAATCGTTCAATAGGATCATCTACTTGCAATATGGTGTTTTGTAAATTTTTCATGGAAGAGGTGAACTAACAGCTATGCACTTAATTATATGTATGTTGAGGTGAATGCTTATGTTCTCTACAGCATTTAGAAGTATTGACCTAGACAGATGCATTATGTGTAATAATAAGAAAATAAATGCGAGATAAGTTATGGAATTTTTTTAAACTTTGGTCATGTGGTAATTAATGCATTCATGTTTGCAAATTTACAGCTACTGTACTATCATGTTAAGAAATGCTTAAAATATAAGTCTGAAATACTTTAAAATATTCGAAATACAGAAGTACACTGGTTAGTTGAGGTCATCCAGGGAAGTACTGCTATGAAGAAAATGTAACCTAATTTATGTTAATTAAAGTTCTTCTCTTTGACCATATCACTTTTAGATTTGTTACTTTATTATAAATATGACTTAAACGTTTTAGTTATATTTTTTCAATCACACCATTAATTAGAACCCTCTCGTTTTTTCTTTCTATGCTTCACTCCTTTATCAAGATGTTATGAATGAAAAGTGATGACGACAGTAGTCTGATCTGAGAGTTTGCATTATTGATTTTTGTTACAATTTCCAAGATTATGAAAAAACTCAAGAGTTACACTTCCAAACAATCCTGGAATAAGACCATGAAAAGTTGCATATACTGTACTATCCATTACATACTAGGAAAATGTGGAAGTACAGCAATAAGGAAATGTGAAAGTTACATTGACTGCCCATACTAAGATACTGTAATGGAACACGGGAAGAGCTCTAAATGAAGACGTTTATAGAGTGAAGTCCATTGTTCGTACAGTATAAATGAGGAAATCAATAAGACCAGTATCATGTTCAGATGGAGGGAGTGTTATGAGGTAACTCAGTGGTGACTGATGGGGGTAAGGGAAGTTTTTCTCTCTGGCACTGAAACTATGGGGTCATTATCACAGGGGTGTTTAAAATGGGTTAAGCAGGCTTGTATTCAGATAAAGAGCAATAATGAGGGTTAGGGTGAATATCTTAATAGTAATAGAAGGACTGTGCCTAAATTAGGGGTGTTTGATATTTGGCAGTAGGAATTCCAAGACTCACCCGCTTGAGGAAGGCATTAGGAAAGGCGACTATAGTGTCTGCTGGGCTGTTCTCTCTCACCTCCCCAACATACCTGGAACATTTACAAGTGTTTAATCCAGAGCTTTGAGCAACACACTTCACACAGAGAAAAACTTTCAAAATGAACTCTCTCTTCCGCTAAGTATGTGAAAGATGTACAAGCATTAGGTAAGTAAATAAATAATTTGGATACAAAATCGCTGAATTCCAAGTAAAAAATCGGTGCAGAGAACAAAACAAAAATCTTAAAATTTGGTAGAAAATTAAGAACTCCTGCAAGTCTTAATATCAACTAAAGCTCATATTAAAATCACTGTAGGTGTTGTTGAAAGTGATCGCTGACCAATACTGTACACTGTCACTCACACTAAGTCACGGCTCATAGATAAAGGTTGTAATCATTTTGTCAGAGTCCACAACGATAAACCCCAAATTCTTTTCTTTTTCTTTTATCCTCTTCACCACTGATCGGTTCGTTAGCCGCTTGGGCGATCGGTCACGTCTCTGATTACTTTTCCTTTTCTTTTATCCTCTTCACCAAAAGATCGGCTCGCTAGCCGCCGGGGCGATCAGTCACATCTTTGTCATGCACTGTTGGCAAATACTGGGCATGCACCGGCTCCTGAATGTACCTGAACCCGCTCCAGTGTTGGTCAAGTCTTGTCTTGAAAGAGCTCACACTCGGTGCCATCACAACACTCTCTGGTAGATTGTTCCAAGAGTTTACAACCCTCACTCCGAAAAAGTTTGCCTTCACAGTTTTCTGGACTTGTGGCTTCTTCAATCTTGAGCTGTGACCCCTTGTGGGGCGAGCATCCGCCAGCTACAAGTAAGGACACTCGACTGAGTAGTGCCCCCCAAGATGCTTATACGCCTCAACTAGATCACCCCTTGCCCGTCTGTAATATGAGCAAGGCAAGTTCAGGCGCTCCAATCTCTCAGGGTAGCTGAGGTGCCGAAGTGCAGGCACCAGTCTGGTGGCCCTCCTTTGAACATTTTCAACCAACTGACAGTCCCTAGCATATCTCGGGGACCAGACAGGGTGACAGTAATCCTGATGGGGAAGCACTTCACTCTTGAAGATCGTTACGAGGGACGGACCGTCTAGATATCTGAACGACCTTCTTATAAGACCCAATAATTTATTTGCCTGGTTTACCTTCTTCTCACAATGGCCCGAGAACTTCAGCTCATTGTCAACATACACACCTAGGTCCTTCTCACATTCACTCTCAACTAGTGCAGTTTTCTCATCCCATTGGGACATATGATACGCCTCCTTACCGTTGGTACGCCCCAGGTGCATCCTCTTACATTTGGTGACATTGAATCTCAGCAGCCATTCCTGGAGCCCACAAAGGTCCTTTTGCAGCTCTTCACAGTCAACTTGGTTCTTAATTTCCCGAAATAACTTAGCGTCATCGGCAAACATTTGTAAGGAGGAGTGTACAACGTCAGGCATGTCATTTATGAAACAAACAAAAAACAGAGGGCCCAATACACTGCCCTGTGGTACCCCACTTGTGACAGGTACGGATGACGATTTCGTGCCATTAATCACCACACACTGCTTGCAGTCATGTAGAAAGTCTTCTATCCATGCAAGGACATTTCCCCGAATTAAGTACCCTTCCAGTTTGATTTTCAGCCTTTCATGGGGTACACTGTCGAAAGCCTTGGCAAAATCTAGGTAAATATTGTCAATATTACCACCCCGTTCCAGAATATGGGTACAAATATCCAATACCTTGAGCAATTGTGTTAAGCAGGAGCGCCCCGGCATAAAACCGTGTTGGCAATCCTTTACAAGATTGTTTCGTATTAGATGTTCCATTGCGGCATCTCTGATAATACTCTCAAGAACCTTACATATTATGCTGGTCAGGCTCACTGGTCTATAGTTGTTCATGGAGTGCCGATCGCCCTTCTTGAAGATAGGACTCACATAAGCCACTTTCCATTCACTGGGGACCATTTGTTCATCCAGGCATTTACAAAAAAGGATCTTCAGGGGCTCTGCAAGCTCGTTGCACAACTCTCTTAGCACTCTAGGATGCACCATGTCAGGACCGGGACTCTTATGGACCTTTAGCCTGGACAGTTTATTTCTAATACCCTCTTCAGTGGACACAATGTGGGTCAGTGCTGTGTCGAACCGTCTGTCCTCAAATGCAGGAAGGTTAGTTGAACACATTGGAAAAGAAGCTATTCAATGCCTCGCCTTTATCCTGTCAGAATCTGCGTAACTACCATCCACAAGCCTCAGGTCCGATACTCCTCCTCGCGTTTTCAATTTCGACTTTGCATAGCGGTAAAACGCCTTTGGGTTTGACTTGACCTCGCTTGCAACCAGCCTCTGGAACTCCTTTTCAGCCCTTCTACACTCTGTCTTTGCTTGGTTTCTGGCTCTTGCATACATCCTCCTGTCTTGCCCATCGTTTGACCCAACCCAAGTCTTGAATTTCTGGGTTTTCTTCTTAATTCTGTTGACCGCCGCATGGTTCATGTGTAGGGATCCCCTCGTATTCCTAGAAGCACTGGGTTTGGTCTTGGGTATATATTTATCGATCAAATGGGTCACTTTACTAGTTATGATATTCAGCGTAGTGTCTGCGTTCTTGTACCTTAATGAGTCAGGCCAGTTGATACCCCTCATCTCTTCCCTCATCCCGTTGTAATTTCCCTTGTAATGTTTGCACCTTGGCCTGGCCTTATCCTGAACTAGGTAACAGTTAAATCTGAATGGCAACACTATATGGTGACTGGTGCCAACTGGGGCAAGGTATTCCAGTTTGGCCACCATACCCTCCTCGTTTGTTATGTTGAGGTCAAGTGGCTTGGGTGATTGCTCCCCTCTGTAATGTGTCGGGTCTCTAACATGTTGGAACAGAAAATTATCTCTCAGAGTTTCTACAAAAAGAGTAGCAGGGTTATTCAAGTCATTTGGGGTGGACTCGTTTCTCCAGTCGATGTCGCCATAGTTAAAGTCTCCCATGATAAGGAGATGGCTAGGGTTGAGCATTGCCGCGTTGTTTATTAAAGTTCTTAAGTTCCTTTGATTTAGTGGGCCACAGTTTGGAGATCTGTAGATACACCCGACGATAAGTAAGTCCCCTCCCTTTAATTTAATTTTACACCACTTTGACTCTTCAAAAATATCCTCTCCCTGTATCCTCGCCTGGCTGGCTCTAAGGTCTTGCCTAGCATAGATAACCACACCCTTCTTGCAAGTTTCTTGAGAAAGGTTCGTAAATGAGTCATATCCAGCAATACTGAACTCACATTCCTCTGGGTCGATTCTCCTGATCTTGTACAACAGTTCTACAACTCCTACGATATCTGGTTGGTATACTCTTAGTAGTGTTTCAAACTCCTCTCTCTTATCGAGAAACGTGTCAGTATTAGTGTACATGACATTCAAGCCAGAATTTGTTCTCGGTAACGTCTCTGCTCTTAGTAGTAACCCCTCTCCCTCCCCCATTCTCAGAAGCTGCAGCATTTGCCAAGTACACTGTATTTTGCAGGATGTGGTTAGAAATGTCATTGTTTACACGGCGCTCGCCTCCTCCTGTCCGGTAGGCGGAGCTGGTGCCGTCTCCGGGTGGGGGGTTGAGTGGGTGGAGGGTGTGCTGCTGCCCCCTGGCCCTGTGTCGGCACACTTGCTTCCACTACCCTCCCCCTGAGTATAACCCGTGTATGTCCCCGTTCTTCTTTGACTCCTCCCTCTTGTGCTTCAAGTCCTGCAGGAGCTTCTTGTGCTGTTCCCTCTGTATTACCGTGCGATCTGGGTGAATGAATACATCCCGAAATGCCTCGCTCTTTGCTTAGTTTTTTGCCTGCCGAATAACCTGCCATTTCTCTTCCCTGCTCGCTAGTGTGATCCTGAGGGGACGAGGCTTATCCCCCTGCTTTTGTCCCAGCCTCCTCACATCCTGAGGGGTTGATGGAGTTTTCAGAACCTCTGTACAAATTTTTTGAAACAGCATCTTATCGTGTGTTACCTTACTCACAGTTCCCTCCGCCTGGCTCTCTGGGACTCCAAAAACTATTACATTGTTCCTGCGCTGGAGCCGTTCCTGGTGTTCCTCCTCTCCCCTAACAGTAGGTCCGTTAATTTAGTGGTTCAAAGTGTTCACACACACACACACACACACACACACACACACACACACACACACACACACACACACACACACACACACACACACACACACACACACACACACACACACACACACACACACACACACACACACACACACACACACACACACACACACACACACACACACACACACACACACACACACACACACACACACACACACACACACACACACACACACACACACACACACACACACACACACACACACACACACACACACACACACACACACACACACACACACACACACACACACACACACACACACACACACACACACACACACACACACACACACACACACACACACACACACACACACACACACACACACACACACACACACACACACACACACACACACACACACACACACACACACACACACACACACACACACACACACACACACACACACACACACACACACACACACACACACACACACACACACACACACACACACACACACACACACACACACACACACACACACACACACACACACACACACACACACACACACACACACACACACACACACACACACACACACACACACACACACACACACACACATCAATTTTGAAATACTATCTACGATATTTAAACTAATTCAAGATTTAAAATTTACTTTCAAGCCAATTTAAACATTAACACATTATTGTCCATAGTCTGACGAATTTGGAAATCTCATCTAAGCTACCACAAGGTTTTCTAAATTTTGCTTGAGGTCTTCACATGCCAAAACTTTACACTTTAACATACATTTCATAGACGAATTTAGGAATCATCATGTCAGAGTCCATGATGACAAAGGCAATCTCAACAGTGGAACTGTAGGTTTCCTCAGGGTCCCGAGTGTTCTCATTTTCCATCTCAACAGCTGTCACCTTCACCAGGATGGGTTCCAGCGTCACCATAATTTCCAGCAACCTATTAACTGTGTTCTGCAGTGTGATGGAACCTGCAGGTGGGGGAGGAGGGGTGAATAAGATGGTCGGAGGCAAGTAAAGCAGATGAAGGAACAGGGAGGAAGGACAACGAGTCATGGTGGGAAAAGGAACAGGAATCACAGGGAGGCAGAAACGGATGGAAAACAAAGAAAATGGGAATGGATGCAAATAAACAGAGAAAAATGATAGGGAAGGAATTTTATATGATAAGGATGGAAAGGGATGAGGGATACCATGGATATAAATGGATAAGCAAGAAACGATAAACAAAGCAAAAATGAATACAGTACTGTACTGGGAGTGTGTGTGGAGGAAAAACGGTTGGGGTAAACAAGTGATAGGAAGAGAATGAAGGACAAAAACAGAGGTGATAATGATGGAAATGTAGACAAAGAGACAAAAGAAAGTAACAAGACAATCCTGGAGTCTCTATATTGCCATTGTGATTGTCATGCTTCTTAATCTTTGATTTTATTTTCAGTGTTCCGTATGTAAGTGTTTGTTTAATCTCTCTCTCTCTCAATGTTGTATTTATCGTATTAATAATATGATCAAGACAAATTTTCTAATATCAAATGTCATTAAATATTTACAACTTTCACAGCTACAGAAATCCAATAACCAACACAATAATGGAAAACATATGAAATCAAAATGGTGTGAAGTAGGAGGGATCTTTTCCACCTCCACCCCCATAGAAACTTTTGGGAGGGAAGCCTTCGGGGTCCTTCTCATTAAAAGTGAAAGTGGGTCCCATAGGCATGACTGCCCGTAAGGAGCAGTGTGGATACAGCACACTGTAAACTAAGCCTTTGGTACACATGGAGGCAGCATGGCCGGTACTGCACTCGACCGCATTCACTTCCCCAAGTTATAAACTTAGGTACCCATTTACATCTGGGTGAACTGGGAGCACCTGGAGATCGAACCACCAACCCCTGGAACAGGAGGCGAGCGCTGTATCCGCTCGACTGCCATTTTCAGTACCTGGGAACAAGGAACACTGCTTCTAAGCATTAGCACACACAATTGTTGACAAATAAGAATGGGATATGATTAAGAGAGAGACAAAGAATGTAGATTTAGATATAGATCTATATCTAAATGTGTGTGTGTGTGTGTCAGAGAGAGAGAGAGATATATGCAACAACAGGGGGCGGATCCAGGGGGAGGGGGAAGGGTCTGGACCCCCCTTTTCATCAGAAATTTCCAATACTTTTTCTTTAATGCAGTATTGTACTCAGGCATTTTTGTATAGTAAAAAGTAATTACTATTGACCTCAGAATATCTCCTAATATCAAGTACACATGGCTTCAAAATGGCCTCAAAAAGCCAATGATATTGGTCAGATTTAAAAAACAATTTGGAGGGGGGCTTCCAGCCCCCCAAAAAAAAAACCACACACACACCAGCTAGGTGGGCTTGCTGTGCTCCCCATGTTCGCCCACCCACAACACTCTTGGACCCCCTCCCCCCTTCTTCTTTTCATATCCCTGGATCCGCTCCTGAGTTACAACACAATAATCAAGGCATTACTCTTATCATACATGCAACTAAAATTATTTGGAATTATATCAATATTTGTACAGGTTTACATACCACGACATGCTTAAGTACAAACACAAGTAGGTTTAGTTACACACAGAGATTAAGTACACAGGTTTATGTACAAACACATTAAATATACCACGTTTATGTACGCACTATTTTAAGTACCAACAGAGACAGTCACTCACCAGTCCGAGGGTTTATGGAGAAGAAGGGAGCGTACTGTGTGGAGGACGCCAGCATGGAGAAGCGGAGCTCTCGAGCCACACCACGATCACCATCCACAGCTTCGACTTTCAACAACTCGTCGTCCTGGTGAGAGAGGAAAATGATCAGCGTTCCTCAGTAGGGCTCATTACTTTTTGGGGAGGCTGGCAATTTACTGAGGGGTCATTATTTTATTGTTGGGCTCATTATTTAATGGGAGTATTTTATTGGGGGACTGGTAGGTTTTCCTTAATTTACCGGTTCTCATGAAATACCCGTATCATTTCATTACTGAACATAATCGAATTACTGGGACAAGAAAGCAAAAGAGCAGGAAAACGAGTCGGTGATTATTTTATTTAATTTCCCCATACATATCCGCATTCACAGCAACATTCAATCTATATTTCAAGGCATCTCTGAATGTAGTATTTCTTAGCATTTTCACTGATCGGCTTGTTAGTCGCTTGGGCGGTCAGTCACGTCTAAATTACGCACAGTTGGCAAGTACTGGGCAAGCACTGGTTCCTGAATTATATCTGGGTGGGCTCGCTTTACTAGCCATATTCCCTCATCCCCAACTTCTTGGACTCCCTTTTGATATTCTTGTATCCGCCCCTGACTGCGTCTGTAGCAAATAATGATGCAATATGGGTGAATATATGAACAGAAAGGTGTATAAGTGAGAGTCAAATATTACAAGGGTAATTACAGCACAATTAGGTGGGAGATGAGGGGTATTCACTGGCCTGACTCACTAAGATACAAGAACGCAGACACTACGCTGAATATCATATCCAGTAAAGTGAACCATTTGATCAATAAATATATACCCAAGACCACACCCAGAGCCTCCAGGAATACAAGGAGACCGCGAGACATTAACCATGCAGCGGTCGTCAAATTTAAGAAGAAAACTCAGAAATTCGAGATGTAGGTTAGGACAAATGATGAGTAGGACAGGAGGATGTATGCCAGGTCCAGGAACCAAGCAAAGTCAGGGTCTAGAAGGGCTGAAAAAGAGTTCCATATGTGGAAAGCGAGTGAGGTCAAGTCAAACCCAAAGGCGTTTCACCGCTACGCAAAGTCAAATTTAAAAACACGAGTAAGCGTATCGAACCCGAGACTTGAAGATGGTAGTTACGCAGATTCTGACCAGGACAAGGCGGAGGCGTTGAACAGATTCTTTTCCTCGGTGTTCACAAGGGAGGATGCAAACAATATTCCTGCATTTGAGGGCGAATAGTTTGACACAGTGCTGACCCACATTGTGTTCTCAAAAGAGGTTTAAAGAAATATATTTCCAAAGCTAAAGGTTATAAAAGTCCCAGCCCTGACATGGTGCATCCCAGAGTGGTAAGAGAGTTGTGCAACGAGCTTGCTGAGCCCCTGAAGATCCTGTTCTGTAAATGCCTGGATGAGCAAAAAATTCCTGGTGATTGGAAAATGGCTTATGTGGGTCCTATATTCAAGAAGGGGGATCGCCACAACACAAATAATTATTATAGACCAGTGAGCCTGACCTGTATAGTGTGTAAAGTACTTGAGAGTATTATAAGACATGCCATGATGGAACATGTACTACGATTCTACGAAACAACCTTGAAAAGGACTGCCAAAGCGGTTTTAAGTGGGGACGCTCCTGCTTAACACAATTACTCAAGGTACTGGATATTTGGACCCAAATTCTGGAACAGGGTGGCATATCGATAATACATACCTAGATTTTGCAAAGGCTTTCTACAGCGTACCCCATGAAAGGCTGAGAATTAAGCTGGAAGGGTACAGGATTCGGGGAAGAGTCCTAGAGTAGATCGGAGATTTTCTTCAAGATTGCAAGCAGTGTGTGGTGATTAATGGTGCGAAATTGTCATTTGTACCCATGACTAACGGGATATCACAGGGCAGTCTATTGGGGCTGTTGTTTTTTGTTTATTTCATAAATGACATGCCAGAAGCTATACACTTTTCCATACAAATGTTTGTAGATGATGCCAAGTTATTCAGGGAAATTAAAAACCAAACAGACTGTGAATAGCTGCAGAAAGATTTCTGAGCTTCGAGAGACGTTGAATAAATGGCTGTTAAGATTCAATGTCACGAAGTGTAAGAGGATGCACCTGATGTACCAATGGTATGGTGGCGCATATACCCAACGGGACGAAGAATCTGCATTAATAGAGACCGAATGCAAAAAATGACCTGGGTGTGTATGTTGACAATGAATTGAATTTCTCAGGACATTGTGGGAAGAAGGTGAATCAAGCAACTAAACTGGAAGGTCTTATAAGGAGGTCGTTCAGATATCTAGACGGTTCCGTCCCTTGTAACAATTTTCAAGAGTGAGGCGATTCCCCGTCTGGAGAACTGTCACCCAATCTGGTCCCCGAGATATGCTTGGGAATGTCAGTTGATTGAATGTCTCCAAAGGAGGGCCACCAGATCGGTGCCTGCGCTCCGGCACCTCAGTTATCCAGAGAATAGAATGCCTGCTGCTGCCTTGCTTATACTACAGACCTAATCGAGGTGTATAAGCATGTCCAGGGGCACTCCTCAGTCGAATACCTGGAGCTGGCAGATGCCCGCCTCACAAAGGGTCACAGCTCAAGGTTGAAAAAAAGTCACAATTCCAGAAAAGTGTGAGGGCAAACTTTTTTGGAGTGAGAATTATGAACTCTTGGAACAACCTGCCAGAGAGTGTTGTGACGGTACCGAATGTGAGCTCTTTCAAGACCAGACTTGACCAACACTGGAGCAGGTTCAGATATAATTCAGGAACCAGTGCATGCCCAGTACTTGCCAAAAGTGCGTAACAAAGACATGACTGACTGACTGCCCAATCAGTGGCGAAGAGAGTAAAAGTAAAATAGTGTGAGGGAGCGGATCCAGGAATGTAAAAAAGAGGGGGGGGGGTCACTGTAAGCCCCTAGATTTTTATTTTTGTTTTAAATCTGATCAATATCATGGGGAGTTTGAGGGCAATTTGAAGCCATGTACAGTCTCGTTCAAGATTTTCGAACACTGCTGGAGACAGCTGGCAACTCAAGGACGTTTGTTTACTATAGTACATACTATAATATAATACGAAACAACAAAGCCCAACCATTAATTAAGCAATGGGGAACTAAGTAACCAGTCACCGATAACCTATTACATCCATTCATAATTACTGTATTACTACGTACTATAGTAAACAATCGGCCTTGAGTTGCCAGCTGTCTCCAGCAGAGTTCGGAGAATTTTGAACAAGACTGTACATAAGATATTAGGAAATTCTGAGGTCAATAGTAATTACTTTTTACTATACAAAAATGCCTGAGTACAATACTGCATTAAAGAAAGGAATATTGGAATTTTCTGATGAAAAGGGGGTCCAGACCCCCAGGGCCCCCACGCATCCGCCCTGAATATGTGTACAGTAAGACAATTATGCTTTGAAGATGTATATTGTATATCTAAGTAAAAGTGTATGTGTGCAAGTGTATTGGTACAAGTATGCTTGAAGATATAAATGTGCAGACTATGTGTGTGAGTGTATGAGTATAGGTACTACAAGTGTATGTGTGTGTGTGTGTGGATGTTCATGTATGTGTGTGTGTGTGTGGATGTTCATGTATGTATGTATGTATGTATGTATGTATGTATGTATGTGTGTGTGTGTGTGTGTGTGTGTGTGAGGTTATGTGTTTAGGTATAAATGTTTATGTATGAAGGTCATATGACTATATTAACATGTATATAAAGATGCTCCAACACGCTGGTTTGTGAACGTGATATACATAAATGGACAAACGTACAACCAAGAGAAGTGGTCAAACCGAAGGCACATAAATTCTCGGTAGTTGAACACACTTACAAAGGAAGGAACGGAGGTGGGTGTAGTGGTGTAGGTGTGTGGTTTGTGACCCTGAGTCTACATCCGTAATAATCAATGAGTTTGTGTATGTACTTGCGCTGTGTTGAGTGACCTTGATGACACACACACACACACACACACACACACACACACACACTACATATACACATACATATTTTAAAACACTGTTCACTTGTAATTTTTTTTTTGTGGGGGGGCAAAGTTATTTGTACTCGTGTAGTTCTGTACTGTTCTTCCCGTTTTTGTGGGTATTATTACGTAGCAGAACAATTGTTATGTTTCTTCTAACATTATCAGTGCGCAAAGTACTGATGCGTGTTTTCTCACAACATATTGGTAGTGGTGTATTCCTGTTAATACATATTAATACCATATCCAATTTACATAAAGCGTGTTTGTTACAAGAGGACTGCGACGTACGCAATATTGTTTTGTACTTTTGAAGAAAAAATATCGTAATTTATATAACATACTTTAGTTACCGTTACAGATCCTGGTGAAAATGGTGACCCTTCAACTCACGGAAGAAAACCGAGACGTAAACAGAAGTTTAAGGCACAACTACCACTCTACATAAAACTTTTTTCTTTTCAATATAACGAAGACATTTACTGAACAGCTTTTTAGTACCTTAACAGTTTCTTTGCTCTGGCTGTCTCTATTTTGTGGGGAAATGTCTAATCATTTCAGGATTTTGTTTTATCTATTCAGATAGAGGTGGAGAGGATAAAATAAAGATGGGTAAAGTGGAGGTGACGGTTATCAGGAGTTATTTATAGAATAGGTTCATTTTTACCAGAGGTGTTGTTTGGATGATAGTAAGTAATAAAAACGATACGACAACCTTTTTCTTTAAATCTACGTACATTTTGTTTTCATTTTTCTCTACTTTTGATCATAAATCACCTGTAATGAGCAGGGCATGAAAGATGAGGATAATTACGGAGTAAAACACAACGAAACTGATCACATGGCTGTAATTTCATGTTCCAACGTGCTTTGTAAACGAAGAAATAAATATTTTACCATAAATATTCCGGCGCCAAATCCCCTGTGGCGCCCATTGTTCCCATTGTTTCCTTGTGGTTATCAGCATATACCTGGATCACGCGCACCTACTGTACAGTGATTTACTTGCACACACACACACATATATATATATATATATATATATATATATATATATATATATATATATATATATATATATATATATATATATATATATATGTGTGTGTGTGTGTGTGTGTGTGTGGTGTGTAAGTGATGGAGATTCTCATTGGAATATTGATTACCATAAATATTGGCTTGGTTATCTTTTGTTTTCAATTGAATGGGCTTCACTTTCATGATTTTTTTATGTCATACGCAAATCCATTGTTTTTTCTCTTTCGCGCATATGGTTTTTGAACCTCGTCTATGTATAAAGGATGAGATTCATATAGGTAGAATCGAATCCCATAATATGGGTTTTTATACATTTCCAGTTTCTTTCGAGTATCATTGGATTCTAAGTGAACTGTATTTACTTTATATACCCAATAGCTACCCATTAGAGGTGGCCATGCCGAAGGAAGAAGGTCAGTGGCCTATGTAGGATTCGTCCATTGTTCTTGATATTCTTGTCGAGGGTTATTTTGAAGCCCAGTACTGTTCTTGATTCCACAGCTTGGGCCGGTAGACCGTTCCATAGGTCTACCCACCCTCTGTGCGAAAAAGTATTTCCTTATATCCGTTCTGTTTTATAACTTAGCGAGGTTGTAGTTATGTCTCTTCGTGTTAGTGGTGTGAAAACATCACAAAGAAATGTTCCGGGTTCACGTTTGTCATCCATTTCAGGGTTTTGAATGTTTCAATAAAATTTGTCCTATTGTGCCGTTTATGTTCCTATACAGTACTTATTGTTCTTCCCCAAGGAGAAGCTAGCCATCTTGTTTTTCAACTGTATAGTTATGTTGTCGTGTTCGAGTTGTTTATCGCTTCTCAAGTTATCTGTGCTTGTGGAGGATCAAGACCGTCTGCAAAAGTTCATCTGTGAATATGTACTAGTTGGGAGGACGTGCAGGTGCTAAAAATGTGGCAGAGAACTTACATTCAATTAGAATTACTTGCTTCGGTGTTACACACAGTCTTACTCTTACGTCCACAGAAGACGTAAAATTACACTTCCTCGAGGCCATTGATGCACTGTATCCACCTCAATCTTATGGTACCGTAAGTTCTTCTGTTTTATATGCCGGGGGTTAGGTTACGTTTTGTGCATTGTCGTTTACATTTTCTTATTTAATACCATGCACATAACATCTCCAACAAATTTTGGTGCATTCCCCTAATTTTTTTCCGGTGATAACCGTCTACCTAAAGTTGACTCTAAAGTTAATTAATTAATTTATTGATTTTTTTCATAAAAAAGGAAGAATGTACCAGGCATAGGGCAATAAACTTTCAAATTTAACAACTGAAGTTAATTTTCATTTTTTTTTTTATGTTAGACTTTTAAACATTAACTAGTTAATATTTATTTGTTTAAGTTAAGTTAACCAGTCTGTGACTAAATTGCTTAATGGAATTTTCGTGTGGATTAAATAACATAATAACCTGTAAATGTCTTCCCCAAAATATAGTTAATAAAGTTTGAATACCTGAATAGTCGCAATGGGCGCAAGGGTTGGTGTTTTATATTACATACTTGTCACTTTTTCTCATGAATTACTCGATTAATTTGATGAAATTTCGATTAAGTTAAGTTAACCAGTACAGTATTTTAAAAGTTCGCAAGTTAATTTAATCGTTAACTTGTAGAAATTAATGATTAAGTTAATTAATTGCCCCATACCTGGAATGTACAAGCGAGTTTTATTTCTCATAATTTTGATTTGTGGATGGACTAGTGTAATACTAACCTTGTTACGCGCTTAAAGACCTTACTTGTTGAAGCGCAGTAATAACATTATAACAGTAAGAACGAATCCAGGTAAAAAAGTCACAGGTAAAAAAGTCACAGAAAAAAGTCACAGGAAAAAAGTCACAGGAAAAAAAGTCACAGAAAAAAGACAAAAAAGTCACAGAAAAAAGTCACCTAACCTAACCTAACTTAACCTACGTGCATCACATATAAATTGTGTTGTCAATATGTAAAAGTCATGTATTGTCAGTTAATAACGGTTTTAAAATGTTTTTAGTTTCATTACCTTAAATGTGACTTTTTTTCCTAGCCAAAATTGTGATTTTTTTCCGTGATTCATATTTTGTCCAAATAACATTGCTAAATATTAAAACACCTAACTACAAGTGACAAAAACCAAATCAGGTGAGTACACAGAATAATTAAAAACTGAAGTTTGCTAAACAGCGAAAAATTAAAGTGGGGTCCCATACGCACGACGGCCCGTTAGCGACAATGTGGACCCGACACAGCACACTGTATACAGGGTGATTCATAACTTTGTTACCACTGTAATGGTGAATAAAAAAATAACTACAAACCTGTAGTCTTTTCTTAACGTTATTTTTACACAATTACACCGGAAATAAAGTGTCATTACTCAATATCAATCAGTGGTCCTCCCCACCCTGCTGTATGGGAGTGAGACACTTGAAAACTTTTAGTAGTAACAAACTTATGAATCACCCTATACTAAGCCTTCGGTACCCGAGGAGGCGGTATGGCCGGTACTGCACTCGACCGCATTCACTTCCCCAATTAGTTACCCATTTACAACTGGGTGAACTGGGAGCGCCCAGGAGTTAAACCAGCAGTATAAGGGATAGCAAATACAGCAAACTGTAGTTTAAGCTCTCGGTAAGGCCGGCACTGAACTTGACCTCACTTCCCCAACAGTAAAATTAGAAACCCATTTACAGATGGAAACGTCACCGGGACCGAACCAGCGACCCCTAGAACTGGTCCTCAAATAACCGCCAGCTCTACTTCCCCAATTCCCTTTAATTAAACCTATTTTCCCCATCAGTAATATCATGACGTCTCCAGTAGTTGACGGATTAATATTCATCATTTTCTTTTTGAGCGCTTTACTGTCTTAACTATTATTTCTACTGTTACTTACTGTACCTTAAGAGCCTTACTATTCGAAGTATTATTCACATTATTACTATTACTACTATAATAATCATTACCGCAATCACCAATATTACCACCTTGAGAGCCTTACCACTATTTTTTTTGGGGGGGGGGCACCCCCCCCCCCCTACATCCTTGTGTAAGGTGAAGCGCAGAAGCGTTTACAGCGCCCAACAGGGAAGCATGCTAAGTTCATGCTTGCCTTATGTCTCATGAGTTAAGGGCGTAGAAGCCTGAAGAGTCGAGGGCATAGAAGCCTGAAGAGTCAGTGGTTTATGTCATCAAGTTATTGGAAGCTCCAACAACTTGTCCCTGAATACGAATTCGCAACTTTCGACTTACACCAGGTACCTACTTTACTACTAGGTGAACAGGGACTAATGGGGGCTAGGAAGTAAGTCCAAACAACTTCCACCGGCCCGGGAATCGAACCCGTGACATCTCGCTTGCGAGGCAAGAACGGTACTGCTTCTACCACCGGTCCCCCACCACTATTATTAACAATATTACCACCTTGAGAGCCTTACCACTATTATTAACAATATTACCACCGTGAGAGCCTTACCACTATTATTAACAATATTACCACCTTGAGAGCCTTACCACTATTATTAACAATATTACCACCTTGAGAGCCTTACCACTACTATTAACAATATTACCACCGTGAGAGCCTTACCACTATTATTAACAATATTACCACCTTGAGAGCCTTACCACTATTATTAACAATATTACCACCTTGAGAGCCTTACCACTATTATTAACATTATTACCACCTTGAGAGCCTTACCACTATTATTAACAATATTATCACCTTGAGAGCCTTACCACTATTATTAACAATATTACCACCTTGAGAGCCTTACCACTATTATTAACAATATTACCACCTAGAGAGCCTTACCACTATTATTAACAATATTACCACCTTGAGAGCCTTACCACTATTATTAACATTATTACCACCTTGAGAGCTTTACCACTATTATTAACAATATTACCACCGTGAGAGCCTTACCACTATTATTAACAATATTACCACCTTGAGAGCCTTACCACTATTATTAACAATATTACCACCTAGAGAGCCTTACCACTATTATCATCTAGAGGGCTTCACTATAATCACCAATAATAACTACCTACTGCTACTACTGTTATCATCGTAACATTTATTACGTCAATTATCCTCTCCGTGACCTACCTTCAAAGTCTTGCTGGTGATGCGGGTGACGGGTGGGGCGAAGATAAAGATGGGTGGCTGGTCCTGACGATCCTCCACCAGCACTGACACTCCCACACAGATGATGTTCCGTGTGTCATAAATCTCGTTAGTGTACGGGTTCTGTAACGAGAGGTTAGGTTAGGTTAGGCAAGTATGGAGGGTGGGGGGGGGGGTCTCTCATACCTGGTTAAAGTCGTGTTATGACGTCCATCGAACACAAAGAGAGACAAGCATAAACCAACCATTTTCATAATTAATTTAACCACAGCGACACTACATACATACATGCATGCAGGTTGACAATCCCTTATCAGAAATCCTTGGGACCAGATGTATTTCGGATTTCAGAATTTTTTTTTTTTTTACAGGGATCAGCCCACCCGGTCACAGGTCACTGACCCACATTGGGGCAAGGGGGGCGAAAATATAAAAACAATTATAATAATAGTAATAATAATAATAACAATAATTCATAGGTCTAGGTCGTGTTTCTCACTTTTGATATTTTTTTCATTCTTTTATTTCTTTATTATTATTATTATTATTTTATTATTACAGTATTATTGTTATTATTATTATTATTATTTTTCATTTTATTATAAATTATATTTACTATGAATAATTATTATTATTATAATTATTATTACATTTTCGCTCCCCAAGCCCCGATGTGGGTCAGTGACCTGTGCCGGGTGTGGGCTAATCCCTGTTAAAAAAAAAGAAAAAAGTTTTGTTCCACAAAAATTTTTCGGTTTTCAGAGGTTTTCGGAATTTCGGATAAGCAGTTGTCAACTACATACTGTACATACCTGTACATACACAAAACTGACGAGCATCACATTTTATCAGAAACTTCTATTAAACAAAGAACAGTTTATCTTTCAGCAGAAATAAGTAAAAATGCAATATAAAATCAGAAAAAACTGCCCCCCCCCTACACAACGTCGAGGTGATACACCCAGAGCCGTCCCTAGGGTATGACAACCGGTGCGACCGCCTCGGGCCCCGCGCTAGTTGGGGCCCCGCGACCCTTACCTCACCCAACACCAGAATTAGTAACCGCGTTAAACTGACCTCACCTTAACACCCAGATTCAGGAGACCACCTGGAGGATTAGCGACTAGCACAGTTCGGCAATGCATCTGGTGACATGAGGTTAAAGGTAAGATTAAACCACCCCACCTTACCACCCAGACTGAGAACAATGTCATTGTTTACTGTGCTCTCTGTCGAAGAAGAGCGAGGACGTTGACAGCGGTCGCCTGACAGTGTTGTTGAAACTCTGTATCTCCAGTTGTCCGTGATTTGTGTTTTGTGAAATTGTTGTCTACATTAATTTACTATCGTACTCAGCCTTCGTTTTTTTATTGTAACATGGCCAGCAGGGATAGAGACAGAAAATACATCTCAGGTGCAGAGAAAAGACAGAAAAAAGGGGAGAGAAGAAATAGCAATGTTAATGAAAGGTTCACAAGAAAAATATGTTTTAAAAAACACCAGAAATTAGTGCAAAAAATGACCTGAGCGACTGTGATGGTGATAGTGTGGGTCATATTCAAGCTGAGGAGAGTACTGAAAAAATACTAAGGCTTTAAAAATGGACAGGTCTACCTACGCTAACGGTCATGCTGATGAAGATCTATGTGATCCAGCCAACTGGCCACATTTACTGAACACTACGACAATTGATATTTTGGTAGAAAAGGGACCTGTTAAGGTATCTAGTGAAAATTAGGTTTCCAAAAAATGGAGAAAATCTACAGTTTTCAGACGACTTTTACATGCGAAGATGGGGAAATATATGAAAGATGTTATAACATAGTAAATTACATAATACTTGGCATAGTAATAGTATGATTGGGGGATTAACAATATGCATATTAAAGTATGTATGTATGTAACTATAACAGTTATATATTGAAGTCTTTAAACTGCTAGGGGAACATATGGGCACGGGGGTGGAGGAGACTGCAGTGGGAGCGGGTAAACAAAGTGAAAGATTACAGGGAAATAGTGTTAGGGAGGACTCGGAGCACGACTAACTTAAATGTCTACTACGCGAACAGTAGAAGTATGAGAAACAAAATGGATGATATTAGGGCCTTGGTATGTACCGAAAAAATCGATATAATAGCATTCACTGAAACATGGATCAACCTAGACTCACGTGAATTACCTGTCGAATACCAAATTGCGGATTACAAATTGTTCCATACCGATAGGCCGTCCAGGAAAGGAGGTGAAGTAGCAATCTATGTCAGGGATAATCTGAAGTGTGAAATAAATAAGGAAATCAAAACTGAGCAGAAAACAGAAACAATTTGGATAGACTTAATCGACGGTAGGGAAAAATTAATCATAGGAGTAATATATAGACCTCCCAATCTTGATAGAGTTAATGAGCGACTTATCTGGGATGAAATGCGCAGGGCTTCCATACACCACAAAGTCTGTATAGTAGGCGATTTTAACCTTGGCCAAATAGATTGGACTGACCTTACGGGTAACTCAGTATCAGAGGATTTCCTCGAAACGATCCAGGACTGCTTCCTAAATCAACATATAACCGAACCCACCCGGGGTAATAATATACTCGATTTAGTTCTGTCGAACAGAGAAAACCTCATTAGCAATGTCGAGGTAGGGAACGAACTTGCAAACAGCAATCACAAAGAAATTAGATTCCAGTTAGATTTTCAGGTCAGACGTAAGGAGAATTCCATTAAAGCCCCAGATTTCAGAAGGGCAAACTTTGATAGTTTAAAGAGGCAGCTGAGAGAGGGGGTGTCGTGCTTGGGTGTGAACCTGACAGATGACACCGACCTGATAACGAGATCTGAGATTGCCGAGTTCCACGACAATTTAAATAATGAGTTACTTAATGCACAAAGGCAGAACACACCATACAAAAAACTCAGATCAGACAACAATGACCCTAAATGGATATATAATTATTTAAAGAACATTATTGGCCAAAGGAAGGCTATAGGTAGAAGGATACATCGTGGCGAAATTTACCTCCGGGAGTATTATAAGGTATTGGCCGGTAGGGTTAAGACCGAGAAAAGAAAAGCAAAGAGAAATTATGTACTGAAGATAGCAGGGGAGGCGAAGACAAACCCCAAAGGATTCTACCAAATGTATCAAACTAAAACACGAGATAAGATTGGACCAATATGTTCAGATACCGGCGAGCTAACTGATAACGACGGAGAAATGAGCAATAATCTGAATAAATATTTTTCAACAGTTTACACCAGCGAAAATTTAAACATGATACCCGAGGCACCGACTCTATTCAGAGATAGTGAAGAAAACAAATTAAGCGAGATAGTAGTGACTAGTAACGATGTTAATAAGCAAATAGACAAACTGAAGCCTAATAAGTAACCTAGTCCCGATGAGATATTTGCCAGAGTATTAAAGGAATGTAAGGAAGAGCTTAGTATGCCCTTAGCAAAGTTGTTTAACATGTCATTAAAAACAGGTGTAGTACCAGAATCCTGGAGGATAGCGAATGTAATACCGATTTTCAAGA